AATTTTACCGTTTCATTTGAGAAAACTAGCATCATCATACTGTATACACACAGAAACTTCACGGCAACCTGTCAAAATAAAAGTACGGTTTAACACGTAACAGAAATATATTACTCTTGTACAGTATAATGTACATCTTTAAATATTCAATTTTCTATCAAATTTAAATAAAACAATTAAATGATAAAAATAAATATCACAACCATATTAAGCACTTAATCGTAGAAAAAAAAATACAATTATTAGCCAATTAAAAATGTTTTAAAAGGAAATTTTTCTTCCATGTATTAATTTCAACAGTAAACCTCAGTTTGTTTGCCAAAAAATAAAAGGGTTTAATTTTCATTTGATTTAAAATAAATGTTTAATGCCTTCATTTGACTTTCAGAAAAATATAAAATAATTTCTGGAGGGAAAAAAAAAAAGAAAGGAAAAGTTTGTAGGGCCCTATTGTTCAAAATGTTGAAATTGAGACTTTTTGACTTATTTTTTCACTGAAATAAATGTAATTACACAGACAGAGAGTAAAGTACCGAAAAAAGTTACCGTTGGGTACCGGCACCGAAATTCAGATACCGATACCGGTACCGTACCGGTTAAAATGTGAACGGTACCCAACCCTAGCTATAAGCAACGCAGCTTGAGTTGGTGGAAGTGCAGCAGTACCTGCAGGAGGTGGTAGAGGGAAACGTCGCAGCGCGGGCCGCTCTGAGGGAACAGGGCCGCTCTGAGTTTGGGATACGCACTGAGGGCCATTCGCAGCAGCTGCGGGTCGACTCTGCTCAGCGGGTCCTGACCGCGCTCGCCCTCGCGCACGGCCTGCCAACAACACAAACAAAACCACTCTGTTTAAGAATAAAGCCAGCACTTCTGAAATCATGCAGACTTCACACGGGCCTCATGTAAGTGTGGGACAGAATAGGGCTGGGCGATGTGACCTAAAATCAAAACCTCGATTACGATTATTGAACGATTATTTTATTTTATTTAAATTTTTTGTCCTCATAGTTCATTAAAGGTTTGTACTGTAAAAATCCTCAACTTTATTTTTTCTAACGAAAGAGTGCATTTCTTATCTTTCTTTTTTTTTTGCAAACAAAAATGAATAGTGTCATGTCAAAAGTAGAATATAACCGGCATCTCATGCAAACAAAATAAATTTTAGATACTGTCATGTGAAAAGAAGAAAATAACTCTTGCAAATGAATATTATTTTTACAAATGCAATGTGAAAAGTAGAAACTTGCATCTCCTGTAAACAAATGTTTTAAATAATTATAAAGCAATAAGCCCCAAGAAGCCGTGGTTTACAGTGAATTTATAACAGCTAAGGGGCGTTGTTAGGCACGACGCGAAGCGTTATATCATCATTAATGATATTAATAAAAACAGTTTTATAAAACGGAGAGTTCCGGTCCTTGATTCTGATTGGTTGAGCCGCGTTCGAAGCTGTTGTAAATTACTCTACAAACATACACCTTTGTTTACTTCTGTGTGTTGCTCGGCAACCAATTTGTTGCAACCACAACTGTTTCTGAGGAACTATAGTGTTAGAGGCCTTTTTTGCTTTTTGTTAATTGTATAATAAATTAAAAAAACAAAAATATAATACAAAAAGAATAAAAAGAATAGAGAAGCTAGCAGGGCTCCAGACTGCGACCACCGTACAATCGCAGCTTCTGTCGAATCGCAATCTCGATTCCATTTCGATTTATCGTGCAGCCCTAGCTCGGATGGCGACGCAAACAAACTTGTCCGAGCTCAGAACAGTTTTACTCGGGAGCCAAAGTTGATTTCGCGACACTGTTACTGCACAGAAGCAACAGTGCTGCGAGATCCAGTGAGATACGTTTGAATTCTGCACAGAATTCTCTTTTATAAACAGCGCTGACATACGTCAGGAAACCAGAAGCAGTTAAGCTAACTGTAACCATGGTGTTGTGGTAGAAATAGTCGAATGCATTACATCATTCATTTCAGGGTTTGTACAACCTTTCGTGAGAGAAATTCAAGCTCTTTTCAATGACTTTCAAGCATTATTTTTAATGGGATGACCAAAATATACTTTGTGGTAAACAAACACTTATGTAAAATTTAAAAAATACATCAAATCACAATTATAACCAGTAGAGGGCAGCAGAGGAGCACTTATTGGCTTATTAGTCATTCATTTCTACTTTTTCTCTATATTTAGAAATTATAAAATCACTATTACAAAATATCAAATCATCAAGAATTCAGATTATGTCAGAATTTTACACTTTTTTTTTGTGTATGAAGTAAGAAAAGTCACAAAGTGCCTTGAAAAACAAACTTTTCTTCGATTTGCTACTAAATCACACATAATCACTGAAGTTGGTCAGCTCCATATACTAGAAGAATAATGGTACATTTAATAAGAGTGGAATGCATACATTTTCTATATAAAAATTTGATTTTGCACCTGTTACTGTCGTTAATAAAAGTTAATTTTGTATGCATCTTAACTCTTAGCTTAGTGCTTTACTGTCAAATCTGTATAAACAATAAACAAGAAATGAACATGTAAACATGTAATATTATTAGTAACTGCACTTATTAATGCAAAACGATAGTAATTTTATGATTAAATGATCTATATTTTAATACTCCCGCACACCACCACCAGCGCTACCAAATCTGCAGAACTCTCAAATGTTAGTCTGGAGCCCTGAGCTAGTGTTAGTTTTTTTTTTTTTTAAAGACAAACAAGCAGTTACTGTAGTAAATGTAAAAAAAAAAAAGAGTGCAAGTCTAAAAGGGGCAATTTAAAAAAAAAAAAGTTTTAAAAAACCGAAATGACCGGCATGGGAAAATTCCGTCGGTTCGAGGTTCTGAATTTTTTGTATTAATGGTCCAGCCCTAGGACAGAAGCAGAAGGACCTGGTCCATGCCGCCCGGTCTGAACATGATGGTGGACAGGGCGAGCAGACTGTGACCCTCCAGTAGCATGCTGCTGATGCTGGCTTGACTCCCGGGCAGCAGAACCTGCGCCGCCGTCAGACTGGCCCCGAACACCCGCTCCGGCTCTGAAACACCACACACCGCACCCATCAAGATCCTTACATTTACATTTATGCATTGAGCAGACGCTTTTATCCAAAGCGACTTACAGTGCATTCAGGCTATACATTTTTTACCAGTATGTGTGTTCCCTGGGAATCGAACCCACGACCTTTTGCGCTGCTAACGCAATGCTCTACCACTGAGCCACAGGAACACTCACACCAGACACTAAAAGCCTCACTTCAATCTCTCACATGGATATTGACATATATCTTACACATTTTTTGGTAATTATTGTCTACTACATTTATTATAGTGTGTATAGTAGAACTCTATTATTTGTTATATATATGCACTCTCTCTCTCACTCTCTCTCTCTCTCTCTATATATATATATATATATTTTTTTTTTTAATATATTTAAAAATA